TTTTGTGGTGGGAGGCGGGACGTTTCTTTCCCCAGGCGGAATTTACTGCTGGGGACATCCACGTGCCTCTCTGTGTTATGGGGGACACGGCCTACCCCCTGATGCCCTTGTTGATGCAGCCCTACACAGGATGGTTGGACAAGTTTCAATGACCGCCTGAACCAGGCCTGCAACCAGGTCGAGTGTGCCTTTCATTGTCTGCTCACCCGTCTCAAGATGGGTGAACAGAACATTCCTGAAGTTGTGGCAGCATGTTGTGTGCTCCACAGCATCATGGAGTGGAAGGGGAGCGGCCTTCCTCCCTGCATGAATGGCAGCCGAATGCTGGGTATTTGAACAGCCCTGCACAGCTGCCATCCGCCAGGTGGACCACGATGAGGTGCGCATCAGGGAGGCCCTGAAGGACATGTTCTCCCAGGCCCCACAGTAGGGTCGCTTCAGTCTCCCATCTACATCTCCCTCCCATCCCCAACCCTTTCCTCACCTCCCAATAAGAAAAAACTAGTTTGGTTTTGTTTAACAGAAAAAACTTTTATTTGCCTTAACAATAGGGAAGAAGAGTAGGCAGTGGGAGGGGCCTCTGAACTGAGAGGGGGAGGAGAAAGAGGGATCTGAACTAGGAGGGGGAGAGTGAGCTACTGATGGGAGGGGTGGCTCTTGCCAGTGCCTTTTCACTAGCTGGCCTTCAGGCAGGGTCAGGGCAGGCAGCACGGGGAGGTGGGCAGGATGGGGTGCAGCAGGTGGAGGCAAGGCAGCCAGAGGGGGCATGGGCATGGCAGGGAGGGCAGGTGGATGTGTCAAGGCCATGCCATAGTGCACGGTGTGACCTATGTGCAATGTCAGGGTGGTAATAATGTTGCACATGCAGTCACACCATTGCAGATACTGCCCCCGTGCCTACTGCCACCACTCCAGGTCAGCGACTATTTTTCTGGTGACCGCCACCTCAATTCTCTCAACGGCCTGGACGTGCCGCCGTAGTAGCTGGTCTTGACCCGCCGGACTGGTGCCTGGGAGGTTGGGGGTTCTGCCACTGCTGCAGGGCTGGAGGGTCCCTCACTCCTGGATGGTCCTGCTGCAGAGAACAGAGATAATGATGGGGCAGTCAAGCAGCCCTGCCCACACTGTCCCTGCACTCCATGCCCTCCACCCTGAGCCCAAGTGACACCACACTACTATGCCTTGGGCGCGCATGGTCCCTTGTATGTATGTTTGCATACAGGACTCCCCCTGGAGTAAAGTGATCCTCCATGGATTGTAACCCCTTGGGAGACATCACCGTGACTGAAGACCCCTTGACTGTGTCCTGGCCACTTGGCATGTGTTGTATCAATCTGTGGAATTCCTTGCCAGGGGAGGCTGTGGAGGCTTAGGACTATTAACAGAATTTAAAGAGGAGTTAGCTAAATCCCCCCACATTGCATGGGAGCAAGTATGGCAGACGAGGTCTGGGGTCTCAGACCCCTGTCAACTGATGTCCTCAGAGACAGAGCCAAGGTGACTGGAGAGTGTACCGTCCTTGCAGCAAAACTCAAGCGGCCATAGGGCCAGGCCGATCGCTTCCCCGCTCCCCCTCCTGCTAGCCCTCAGACAAGTAGTCCAGGAAAGTGTGTGGCTGTAGTGAGGGGCTTCCCTCAGGGGCAGCCTAGGGGCCGGAAGCAAGCGAAGGGCTCCATGGGGGCTGTGCTCACAGGGCTGGATCACTGCAGTTTCCCCAGGAGCAGCTGCTGTGTAGCACAGCCAGGTATGGCTATGTGAGCGAAGGGCTCCATGGGGGCTGTGCTCACAGGGCTGGATCACTGCAGTTTCCCCAGGAGCAGCTGCTGTGTAGCACAGCCAGGTATGGCTATGTGCTGTCTGTGTGCGGCGCCCTGTGGGAGGTGTGGGCTTCTAGCCTGAGCTCTTGGGGCCTTGACTGCTTCCAGCCGGCACCCCCCCTTCTCCACCAGTCAGGACGTGTGCAAGCAGCAGGGTCCCAAGTGTGCCCTGGAGCTGCCTGCCGCATCCACCTGCCACACAGTCAGGCTACACAAGGTTGCACATGCTGCATACTATTACACAACGTGCAGCTCGAACTACCTGAGAGACACTTCCTCTCTCTCCTCCCAGGCACCCGGCTCCCCCAACCCTTGCAAGTGAGAAGCAAAACACTCACCAGAGGATCCTTCTCTGGCCTCAGATGAAGCCTGGGAGACATCCTGGCTGCTCAGCACTGGCTCCAGGTGCAGGGTGACAGTGCTGCTGCGGTTGTCCCAGTGGGCAGGTCACCCTCCTCCATGTCACGTGGCCTGGTCACTGGGGTGGTGCAGGCCAGTGTCCACTGGCACCAAAGGTTCCTGAGATTGCTGTCTCACTGAGGATGGCGTGGAGGCAGTTGTAGTGGGGACAGGTGTTGGCTCCTGCCCCCTGGCCCTCGGTGGCCCGGACATAGCCCAGGTGCAGCTTCTTCACCTTAGCCCAGACCTGTTCAAGGGTCCGGGCCAGATGTCCCTGCTGCGAGAGTGCCTGGGCCATGCGGCTAAAAATGTCTGCATTCCGACGACGGGCATGGGGGTCATGGAGGGCTTCCTCGTTGGCCCACAGGTCCAGAAGGGCCTCCACCTCTGCCTGGGACCAGCAACGGGCATGCCTCTTGGTGCCCCTCTGGGCCTCCTGGGAGCCCTGTGGTGGCTGCTGGGAGGAGGGTGCAGGATCTCGGGGGTGTCCCTCTGGAGCAGACATCTCCTCTGGGGGCCTCGTGGGTGCAGCAGGGCAGAGCTGCGTGACGGAGCAGCTGGCTGAGCTGCTGCTGCTCCGTGGTGCCTTCAGGCTGCGTGTGGCTTTAAGGGGAGGGGGGTGGCCTGGTAACCAGGAAGTAAGAAGCTGTGAGTGCAGGTATGGAGCATCCAAGCAGCCACTTGGCTTTTTTCCTGTGAGGCCGGTTTTTGTGCAAAAAACTCTTGGCTGCCTGTCTACACTGGCCTCTTGCGCAAGAAGGCTTCTTCCTGATAGGGAGCCTCAGAGCTCTCATGCAAGAAGCCCTGTTTTCTGATGCTATACTGTAGATTTACTTGCGCAAGAACGTGCGTGCAGTGTAGACAGGCGGCAAGTTTTTGCGCAAGAACCCGCCAGTGTAGAAACAGCCAAAGTGTGTTGTAATCCCACACTGTAAATGGGATTGCTATGTTAAATGCAAGGCTGAGTCCTAACACAAAAAATATCCAAACCTAGTTATAAACTGCTTGTGTTGCGAAAGTAAAACTAGAGTTCTAATAATACAACTAAGCCCTCTTTCACAGAGCCTCTCTGCACCTCAACCACATGGTGCTGAATTCAGACTTCTTGTTGTACTTATACAGAACCTGGAGAGCCTTCAAGCAGGAAGTCTTCCAACCCCTCCTCCATGCACCAATCCCATGGAGCCAAGACGTCATAGTCACACACTATGATGTACCAGATACACAAACACACAAATCAGGGGTTTAGCCTGAAGCTACCAAACAGATATATACCTGCATTAACTCGCAGGCTCTTGGCTCTCTCCACCAGCTCTGGCAGCCATTTCTTTGCCTCGCCTACTAATATGGCTGTAGACAAGGCCATGCAGCGTTGGCCAGCTGCTCCAAAAGCAGCACCAACAAGCTGGTTCAAGGTGTTCTCCTTATTGGCATCCGGCATTACCACACCATGGTTCTTGGCTCCCTAAAATACAAGACATATATACAATCTCAAACTGTTAAATAAACCTGGCTTACCATCTTCCCAGCTCTGGAGTGACAACAACTTCCTACTGTAGCTGTTACTGAAGTGCTAACATCCTAATAGAAAAAGAAGCTTACTTTCTCTCAGCACATACAACTGCACTAATTCAATTCACTCCCTGAATCTGACTGGAAAAGCTCTTAAGCATGTCGTCATGCCCCCCCCCAACTTTACGAAAATTGGCTTATGAATATGCATAACTTTAAGATGCTTTAGGCAAAAGGTAATATAGCATTTTTAAAGTTAGGATCCACAGAAGGTGTATATTCTATTTTTGTGTGAAAATCAGTCTTGTATGTGAAGTTAGGAGTATTAAGTGTGGATCGGTTTATAATTCTGAATGTGCTAATGTGGGCCATTACTGATACTCTGGAAACACAGTGGCTCAAGATGACAATCTATAAATGGGTTTGTTTTCCTTATAAGCCCTGGAAACATAGTGGCTCAAGATGACAATCTATAAATGGGTTTGTTTTCCTTATAAGCCCAAACTGCGGTTGGTCCTAGAAAGACATGTGACCATGATGCCTGGTACTGGAATCCATCCTGAATCTGCTATTTTTCTATGGGGATGGGGAAATTAAACAAATGGTTCCCGTTCTGGGGAAAGACTATTTAATGGGTCGATTCAATCAGGCTTTTGTCTTCATCTGTCTTTTGAAATTGCCTCTCTCCTTTAAGAGAAGGCCTGAAGAAACCAGGAAACAAAGATCCCTAAAAAGCTGAAGAGCCAAGCCAGAGAGAAAGAATAACTCTTTCTTGAAAGATTTTACCTGAACCAAAGACAACGGGTAAGGAACATACTTTGAAACAATTGCTCTTAGTGTATTATGCTTAATAGGCATGTTTTGTTTTAGTTACTTACTTTGATGTGTCTGTTTTCACTTATTTATTATCAAGCTCAGTGTAAACATTTATCATCTGAGGAGGAGCAACCACTGTGCATCTCTTTCATTGATAGAGAGTAAAACTTATGAAGAATAAAATGGATTTATTTGGGATTTTGGTCCTCTTTGGGGCTATGTTCCTGGGTGCCTCCGAGCTGAGTCCGTCTCAGAGCGGACCTGGTTCTGCATCTGTATTGCTCTGGAGTGGGGGTAGGGGGAGGAGAATGGGGAAGAGTGCTGTTACCACAACTCTGCATCTTGGCCAGGGGAGACCAGAGCTTCTGGCCCAGTAGGAGAGGATGGGGTGTGCCCCAGAAGGCAGATAGGCTGGCTCAGTGGCATGACCAGCACACAGGGTGACAACCCCAAAGGGACTCCTGTGATCAAATCAATTGCACATATGTACAAGGCAATAGCAGCCTGTAGACTAAAATCCCTGATATACTGAGGGGCATTACCATGTTGGATTGGACTCTCTTGCCATTCTGGGATCCTCTTTCATAGATGTATTCTCCAGCCTGATTGGACCCCACGAAGCTGATTGCCTTGATATCCGGATGGTCACAAATAAAATTCACAGCTTCAAAGAAGAAATAGCTCGTCATATGCTGGGACTCTAACATTCTTTTCCATAGAGTCCCAGGCTAGAAGGAACCGTTTTAATCAAATGGTCCCTTCTGGTCTTCCACATAGTGCCCATCACGCTGCTACTCACAGTGTTAGTACCCAGATTCCTGCCCCTCTGTGTACCACCATTACGGGGATCCAAATTCTACTGCTGCCCATCCACTTTCTTTCTCTATCATTTAAATCCCTATCCCTCTGTTCACCTTCCTGGATCCCTAATCATTCTGTCACCATAGCACCCAAATCCTAGCTCCTCCACTTACTATGGTCTCTGCCCTTCTGGCACTCGAATCCCAGATATCTTCTAGACTTTCCTACACATTGGAGTTCTTAGTATTCTTTATCCTTTATATCTTGATGTTCGTCCAGCTCCAGAACTGCCAGGGCAGGTTCTGTTTTACTGTTTAGCAGCCAAAATCTGTCAAACTGGGTGCTTTAAGTTAGGCTCCTAAATCCATATTTAGCCTCAGATGATGGCATTTTTCAATGTGCTTAAGAAACTGAAGAGTACAAGTACCCAAAGACAATGGCAGTTGTTTCCAAGTAACTTGGACACTGTGAAAAGACCATCCTAAGGATCTAAATTAGATATTCAGGTTTAAAATTAGGGATGTAAAATCCTGTTTAATCAATTAACTGGTTAAATGTGATATTTAACAGATGGATGGGTCTGGTTGGCTGGAGTAGCTCCCACCCATGGCAAGTGGGTGTAGCCGGGCTGAAGTACCCCCTCTCCAGCAGTGCAGTAGACTGCTCCAGCCAGGCTGGGTGTGCTGCGGGTAGAGGATGCTCTGGACAGGCTGGAGCACCCCCCGCCCACAGTACAGTGGGCCCAGCCAGGTTGGAGCATCCCCAGCCTACAGCCTGGTTGAGGAGGCAGCTGCTCTAGCCAGGCCACACCCACTGCACTAGTTTCTGATTGGGGGCTGCTCCAGCTGGGCTGGGCCCACCTTGCCACAGGCAGGCAGGAAGCTGGCTGCTGGTTAACCAGTAACTGGTAAACATCATTGGGTAAGGCAAATGTTTACATCCCTATTTAAAATGTCCATTTGCATGTCCAACCTCTTTAATGGTTTCTCTATCAGCCTTGCACTTACCTGCAGGGCTCGACAATTAGTGTAATCTACTCACCTATGGTGAGTAGATTACAAACATGCGCAGTGTGCTGAACTGCACAGTTGGTGAGCAGGGCTCACCGCCACTTGGTAAGCCCTGTTTACCTGGATTCCTTTTGTCCCACATTCCACAAACCCCAAATACTATGCTGGTCTACAAACAGTGGAAACCCCAGTATCTCTATGCCCCCCTCAATGCACACATTTACCTTCATGTTGCCCATGGATGATGTTCAGAGTCCCATCAGGGGCACCAGCGTCCTGTAACAGCTTAGCAAGAAACATGAGTGCTCCTGGCACACGCTCTGATGGCTTCATCAAGAAGGTGTTTCCACAAACCATGGCCATGGGGAACATCCAGAGAGGAATCATGCCTGGAAAATTGAATGGTGCAATCCCTGCACACACTCCCAGAGGCAGGCGATAGGTGTAAGTGTCCATGTCCTTAGTGACGGAGGGCAGGGTCTCTCCCAGCAGGAGGGATGTCACGCTACAGGCATGCTCAACCACCTCTGCAGCAGAAAGGGTGATATGACACAGGGTGAGCTCCTACTACTCAGCCCTAGAATTCCTCTCTCCAATGCCACAGTGCTATTCTCTCTTCCTGCATCTTTCCCCACAGCCTGCAGTCCACATGCACTATGAACACTCCCTGCAGTGCCAAGCACAATAGACTAGCTGGCTCTGAATGCAATGAGGAAAGCATCCATTTAATGTTCATAACAGGAGCCCTGAGTGAGGTTAGTAACACTTTCCCCATACAAGAAGCATAGGGGAACCAATCCTAGCAGGGACTTTTATCTCAGCCATTTCTGTGCACAGGAAAAGATGCACAAGCCATCTGGAGTAGTATAACTTGCAGGGAGAGGAAGTGAGCAACAGCTTCAAAGTGTTGGAAAATAGACCTTTTCCATCCAGAGCTGCTAAGGTAAAGACAAGGCCATCCCTCTATCTTCATGTGAAAGTTCTGAAGGTGGCTACTTTCTTGTGCCCTAGAATCCCTGTTGCTCAGTGGTCTTTTACCCTGCCCATAGCTTCTGAAAGCCCCTTATAGCAGGAGCCAGCAGCTTACGGAGGCCTCGGAATACATCTCCCTCAGCATCAGCCAGGGTCTTTCCTTGCTCCAAAGTGATAAGTTTGGCAACTTCTTTCTGGAAATTAAAAAAAAGTTAAAAGGGCCAACCATCACAACTGGGAGGTAGAGACAGTTCCAAAGATAGCCAAATACACAATGACTTGACCAGCACCCATGGGTTGGAAAGGAAACACTGCTCAGTTTGTTACTTCTTAATATAAGTCACTATACCCTTGAAAATCTTCAAAAAGGTAACGTTTTAATCAGGACAACTGGAATTGCAGGGCTGGCCCCATGGCATCACAGCCAAGCTATCTGGGGATGTGGACTGGACGGACTGCAAAGTACTGGTGAGAACTCCTCTTGCAGATATTTCTTCTTTTTACCTTCACTGACTCCGCCAAACCTCAAGACAATTTGAATCAGCACTTGGCATAAGATAAAATGCAAACAATCATCTGTCCTATCTCTGTCCCCAGGCAACACTACTTTTGTCTCCATGAGCCTGAAGACCACCTCACCATTCCTCCCATGGCATAAGGAATGCCATCCCCCTTCAGCTCATGAACCCAGGCAGCACTGCCGCAAGCATGAGCCCAAGAAACAGTTTTTGAGCCTCCTCACCCTGGGTTCATGGCCTGCACTTAACAACAGCTGTTGAGGACAGCTATCGGTGTCTCACCAGGTTGTCCTTGATGAGCTGCTGGTAACGCAGAAAGATTTGCTGGCGGCTCAGAACAGATGTCTCTGACCAGTTCCGAAAAGCTTTTTTGCATGAATTCGCAGCTGCCTCCATCTCTCTCTCTGTGGCCTTTGGGACACGACCAACCACTTCATTTGTGGCCTGATGGAACAACCAACTATATCAAAATTCATCCTCTTTAATGCCCCTTTCATACCTCAGTCTGGCGGGGGCTGCTCAAGCCAGTCTCACTGTGTCAGTGAGGGGCTGCTCCAGCTGCCAGTTAACCGCTTACCCAGTAAGCATCATGTAATAAATGATGCTTACATCCCTACTTCACTACACATCTGCTGTGCATAAGATGCAGGACAATGTAGCACTTTAAAGACTAACAAGATGGTTTATTAGATGATGAGCTTTCATGGGCCAGACCCACTTCCTCAGATCAAACTCAGATCTGAGGAAGTGGGTCTGGCCCACGAAAGCTCATCATCTAATAAACCATCTTGTTAGTCTTTAAAGTGCTACATTGTCCTGCATCTTATGCACAGCAGATAAGATGGGATCCTATGGACAGCAGCATCTCTCTATATTATAGTCTTTTTTTCCATGTCTCATCTGCTGTTTCTCTTGTGCTCTGAGTTAAGTGATTACAAAATTAAGTACTATATCATAATTCATATAGACAACCATAATTCTAGAATTCCTATCCTTTGAGAGTTTGTTTTAGCAATCTTAACATTCTTTAAGTCTAGATTATAAAAAATCTGCATTGACATAGCAAAGATCATCAGTTGCATCATTCAGAGAGACATCTGCAAAATAAAAATAAGTAACCGTTCAGAGCAAGAGGAAAAGAAATAAAGAAAATGAGTAGCCTTGCAAAGGGTGAATCTTCTCACTGGATACAAGTTTAATTGGTTGAGCTAGCTTTGCAGAGTCTCAAGCTTCTCTTCACTATCATGAACAATATGAAAAAATAATAAATATATGTCAAAATGGGCTCTACACAGAAAAGTCCTCAGAACTCTCTGTCCAGACACCTGCTTCAAGGATCAGACAGGATCTTGCATCTGCCCCCTGGAGCCAGACATAGAAATGAAACAGAATGTAGGTCCTGAGATCAGACTTGAAAAGCAGTTGCATCCAACATGATACTTGATGCCAAAATTCACGGGGATTTTCATGGCTTAAAAGAGCCATCAAAAGAGGGGGAAAAAGAATCTCAGATTCCAGACAGGATTGTCTTTTCCCCCTTGAGGGGTGGAGGGATGTCACACCAGTCTCTGCCAGGAGTTTACCTTCAGGCTTACATCAAATCATGTTTGGCCAGTCACTTCTATGATTCTATGGCAGAAACCATTCACTAACTTTCTGTGCAAGTTACAGAATCCCTTCCCTGTGCAAAGAGTGGAAACAGAGGTCTAAGTCTCAGAAATCTACCATATAGGGAGAGAAGACAGCGTTCATCATTTCTCCTGGGTCTGACATTAACCTTGAGAAGGTAGTTGACCCTTAAGAGAGCACTTGCAAGAGAGTCATGCTCCCTGCTTCTCCACTTGCAACTCCAGTGAGATGCAACCCCCTCTTGACCACAGTGGGAGCCCACACAGCAGCAGAGGTCACTTCACTTACTGGGTTGTGGATATCAATCCATTCGGTAGTTGTGGATTCAACAAACTTTCCATCAATGAACAGTTTGGTTGCTGGCTGCAGAAAACAAAAGCACAGAACAGTGATGTTTCTACTTGCCCTTTGTGCCACGATACTGCATAGAAAGGACTGGTAGCACCACCTATTTTTTAATGTTTCCTGATGCTTCCCATTTAAAAGATCCTGTGTTCAGTTGCTTAGAACTCTGGCAGACTTCAAGCTGATATCTTCGGGTGTGTCTAACCTACACGGCTCCATCGACGGAGCCATGTAGGTTAGGCTGATCGGCAAAGGGAAATGAAGCTGCGATTTAAATAATCGCTGTTTCATTTAAATTTAAATGGCTGCCGCGCTGAGCCGACAAACAGCTGATCAGCTGTTTGTTGGCTCAGCGTGCTAGTCTGGACACTTCTGCGCCGACCTGAAAGCCCTTTATCGACCTCCCCATTATGCCTCGTAGGATGAGGTTTAGTGGGGAGGTCGATAAAGGGCTTTCATGTCAGCAGGGGAGCATCCAGACTGCTCCGATCTGCCGACAAACAGCTGATCGGCAGAGCGGGGCAGACATTTAAATTTAAATGAAGTCGCGATTATTGAAATCGCGGCTTCATTTCCCTTTGCCGAACAAACAAATCTACATGGCTCCGTCAACGGAGCCATGTAGTTTAGATATACCCTTCTATACTAGGGGTGTCTCTCAAATTTGTCAGAGGGGTAGCCATGTTAGTCTGAATCTGCAAAAGCAATGAGAAGTCCTGAGGCACCTTATAGACTAACAGATTTATAGGAGCATATGCTTTCGTGGGCAAAGACCCACTTTTGCCCATGAAAGCTTATGCTCCTATAAATCTGTTAGTCTATAAGGTGCCACAGGACTCCTCGTCATTCTCTCAAGAGTGAATTTTTGGGTAAAATTTCATCCAGAGTGGCTTCGTCATTTTTGGGAGCAAGGCTAAGAGAAAATATGTCATTTTGCAAGTTAAATTCTGTGAACTTTTTCTTTAGAAAGCTTTAGCACCTGAAAGCTTTGGAGCAAAGACTTGAAATTTGGCAGAATGATGGCCTTTGTGTTAGGGATGTGCCTTTTGCTGTCACCATGAAAATTCACTCATATTTGGTCAAAGTCTAAGCCTTTGGGAAGCGAGGGGAAGAGGGGAAATCACAATTTGCACGCACAAGGTTCCCTCAGTGAGTATACTCCATTGCATCACTGCTCTTAGAAGTGAGCAGGATACACATGCGACATCTCCACAAAGCCTGGTCCCTCCAGCACCAGGGCAAATCCAGATTTTTTTCTGTAATAACTAGGGCTGTAAATTAATCACAGTTAATACATGCAGCAAATATGAAAAAGTCACAATTAATAGCAGTTTTAACTGCACTGTTATAACAGAATACAAATTTAAGTTTATTATATATATTTGTGAATGATTTTCTATATTTTCAAATATATTGATTTCAATTACAATAGAGAATACAAAGTGTACAGTGCTCACTTTGTATTGTTTTCTTATTTACAAACTAGAAGACTTACCTGGCATTGCCTGGGTCCTTCAGGGCAGGAGGTTGGTGATATGTGGTGTGCAGGAGTCAGGGCAGGGCCTTGGGAATGTGGGTGAACTCAGGACAGGAGGTTGAGGTGCTTGGGGGTGTGTGTGCAGGAGTCAGAGTGGAGAGTTGAAGAGAGGCTCGGGGCAGGGAGCTGGAGATGCGGAGGTGTAAGAGTGAGGGTTGGGGAGTGAGAGGCTCAGGGCAGGGGGTGGGAGTGCAGGAATCAGGGCTCTCCCTCACCACCCCACTCAAGTGCTGTGGCCAAGGGCTGAGATGGGAGGGGTTTGGGATCAGGGCGGGCCACTTACCAGGTATGGTGGCCAGCAAGATGGTGAATTCCAGCCCCAGCTGGTCACTCTCTTGGTGGTCCGGCTGTCTCCAGTGGTCACTGCAGTATGGTGTCCCCCAATCACCCCCCTCCCTTTGTGTGTTATGGAAAACAATCTCATTCCCAGCAGATCCCATTTTCCTGGCATATTCAAACCCTGACCTTGCTTTAAGTTAGAAGAGGAAGTTGCACACCAAATTTGATATACCTAGCTCTTACCATTTAGGAGGAGTTCTTGAACAAAAGGACTCACACGCGGTCAGATACACATTTCTAAAATATATAAACCAAAGAGCCTGCAAGGGAACCCAAACATTTTGATTCTCTCCACTCCCCAGTTTCAGCAAATATCTATGAAACTCACTGGCAAAGTCTCTCACCTTCCTCTGTGCCACTAGAGGATGTCAACTTACTATTGCTATCAGTTACTTCACTAAGTGAAATGACTACGGTCTGTGTGGTGGTTCTAAAGGTACCTGTAACAGGGTGTGAATACCCCACACTGGAGCAGGGGGAATGAAAACCCTGTGGGCAGAGAAAGCCCTGCTCCTTCAACCAGACTGGGCATGCTCCAAGTGCTGGGGCAGCATAAAAGGCAAGAGAGTAGCTTATCTGGGCTGGCCAATGAAGGAGAAAGACTTCCAGCCAGAGCTCCCATGCTGCAGCAGCCAGTGACCCAGAACAGTGAGAACCCGGAATCCCAGGAGACGGCTGCTATGCAATCCCCGCAGAGTCCCAGGAAGAAGCCGCTGCCAGGGAACTGGGAGACCAAGCCACTATGTGGGACGTCGACCTGCCAGAATCGTAGTAAGTGACCCAGGGAGGGTGCAGGAATGGCCTCTCCCACCCAGGTATATTTGGCGGGTTTTGGCCAGATTCCCCACCGAGGGAGTTGTAGATTGTTCTGCTGCTCGCAGGGCGCTGGGTAGGACCTGGTGGTGTAGGGTGGGCCCGGTTCCCCCTACCAGGGTGCTTGCCCCAATCCTACTGATTCTGGCCTGGCCTTTAGGACCTACTGCCCTGCAACAAGAGCTACTTACCGATTCTCTGTGTTGCCCTGAGACCAGGGCCACTTACTGACTCTGGCCACTAGGCCACACTGCCCTGGAGTGAAGGCTGACCATGATGGACTCTGACCAGCAGACTGTACTGCTCTGAGAGAAAGCACAGCACTATTGACCTTAGACACTAAGCTCAAATACCCTAGACTGCAAGGGGACATTTACAGACTAGAGAGACAGCTGAATACCCTGTAGCCAATCAGGTGGCATCCACACCCCTGAATATCTTCACTCCTGTGATGGGATATGCATATAACACCACAGTATCAACCCAACTAATAACCCATGTGGGTATCACTTGGATGCCACAATGGAATTCCCCCTGCCCCCCAGTTTGCTTTTTTAAGAGCTAGGCAATTACACACAAAAAAACTACATTAAAAGAAAATTTAAGTTGCAAAGCTAAGCAATCAAAAATTGGGAATTAAAGTTAAGAATAACTCTGCAACTTTAATCCAGCCCCTTGTGTATCAGCATTATGCTACAGTCTTCAATTACATAATCACATTTTTCCCCCCCATCTCACAAACTCCTTGCTTCATTCACTGGACAAAATGGACCTATTCTGTTGAATCCAGGCGAGGTATGAAAGGGGACTTCTGTCCCTAGGGCCCCTGCCTTATTTGTGGCAGAAGTTGGACGACTTGTACTGAGTGGGGTAGGGGAATGCAGGAAGAGAAGGACTGACTCATGCTTAAAACAAATGAATGCTGTCTCTGCCACAGAGTTCCTACGTGATACTAGGTAAGTCACTTAAAGCAAACTTTTCACACGCATTTGTGCAAGGCTCTATACAACACTTGTATCCGCATCTCCATCTACAAAAAAAACCACATCTGCGCATGTGGATGTCTGCAGTTGTGTAGGGTTCTAGATAACTCATTAATGTTTTGTATCTTCACATAACCCCGGTGAGGTAGTAGTTTTATTATCCCCATTTTACAGATAGGGAAACTGAGGCAAGGAGACTTGGGTCAAAAACATTTACTAATTTTGGTTGCCTAATTTGAGATGCCTAAAAGCTGATTTTTTTTCAAGACTACTTAGCTCTATATAACTATAAGCCTATATGTATATAGAGCTCTGCTTTATATCTGCAAGTATCTACATTTATAAATGTGAATGCATATGTCTGCAACTTATTTTTGGAGATGTAGATAAAAATTTTGAGTAAAGAAATAATTCTATTTTCAACACAAGGTCTGAATATTGTGCAGTAAATAGGCCACAATGAATAATGACAAGAAAACAAAATATTGAATAGAACAGCATTGCACAAGCTGGAGCCACCCAATCCATGTCCTCCCCATTGCCACTGGTGAGTGTAGGAAGAATGCAGCACAGACCCCTGGCCCCACCAGTCCCCTGGGCTGAAACAAAGGGGCAAAGCAGGGGCAAGGAGAGACAGGGCCTGGAGCAGAAGGGAGTTGTCCTGGTCCTTCCTTGGGCGGAAGCAGGAAGCACGTGGTCAGTGTCTTCCTCCTTCCCCTGTCACCCATCGTTACTGCTTTGCTTTGAATTTACCTTAGTTCAGGGGTTCCAAAACCTCATTGCATTGTAACCTTCTTCCAACAATAAAATATTACTGCGTGGCCCCAGGAGAGGAGGCCAAAGCCTGAGCCCACCTGAGACCTGCTGCCCTGGCTGTCAGGAAAGTGGGGAAAACCTCAAGCCCCAACACCCTGGGTGGGTAGGCTAAAGCCCAAGGCCTCAGCAGACCTGTAACCTGAACCCCACCACTCAGGGCCAAAGTCAAAGTCATCAAAATCAGTCTTTGGTCCTGGTCCACAGCAAATCCAATGCCAGCCTTTGCAGACCCAATTAAAACTTGATCATAGCCCATTCTGTGGTTCTGAATGACAGTTTGCGAACTGCTGCCATAATGGCAAAGTTAGGCAGTCGTTGCCTGTAACGTTTTTATTTTATTTTTCTTGTATTAAATTCTGACTCGTATGCTTCACGCTTAAAAGCATACAAAAATCATTCCCTTTGATCCAGTGTATTTGAAGTGTTTGGGAAACTCCACTTGGGACAGCAAGTGTACTTATTTCTATTATTATCCAAGCTCGTATTGTCCAGGAAAGAGCTGTGCAGTACAAGACAGAGATTTCTAGAGCATGGCACCACAGAGACAGTGCTGGAGGGAACTGGCTTTTAAGGTGGCTCCCACCAGCACCGGCTCCTGCCCACCCCTCCTTGCTGCCACCAATACAGAGGCAGTGACATGGAAGGGAGAGTGAGTAGTCAAATACTTGACTTCACTACTCGCTTACATCCTTATTTAGAAAGGCTTTAGGACTCTCCTCCCTCCCTTCACTGAACCCCAGATTCACCTGGAGCCACCCAGAACAGAGCTCCGGTAAATATTTTCAAACCTATAGAAGCCCTGAGAACACCCTCTCCTCTCCCTGAGACGTGCTTCATTTGGCAGCTGTGTCCTAAATGGTGGTCAGCTCTGTGAAATAGTCTCTGAGAATTTAAGCCCTGGAAGTGACTTTTTAAAAAGATGTGAAGGAAGTGTTTCATTGCATGAGGAAAGGAGTCCAACAATCCACCTGCCCCAGTAGCAGTTATAGACTTCCCAGAACTTTAGCCAGCCCTATCTAGAGGCCTAACATGAAATTGTTTCATGCCCTGCTCTTACTAACTGGGCTAAGTTATCTAAAGCTAATTCAGCAAATACATTTTCTTCCAAATACCAACCCCCTCCCTTGGCAATGCAACTGCAAAGTCTGATTTAGTTTAACACCAGATTAGACAGGCACTGGGCATGCTAAGTTATGCAAGTGATAGTACAGGGGTGCAGCTCCTGCCATACAAGTGTGCAGAGCTGGCTAATAAGATAGTCACCATCTGCATCTCCTCCTCCTCCTTCCCTGCATCCAGGGCCCTTTGAACTTGCCATGTCTCCCCTTTGGTAAAGCTTGTCAACAGGAACAAGAATGAACTCACCACTGAGTAAGAGGAGGAAAAGGATGAATACCAGGTGGGACTGACTTTTCCTAGGATCTACATGAAAGAAAGGCAGACACACAGAGATCAATGCTGTTAGACACACAGGAGGCAAATCCTGCAGAGGTTAAACCCGTGCAGACGCTATGGTTGTGGAGAGAGCCTGGGATCTGATCCCCAACGTCCATGAGTCAACTATAGCCTGAGGGAGCAAAGGGGCAGCCACAAATACCACTGGTTGCACGGTAAGATGCTGTGGGAAGGGGGTCTCAATCATACCCCATATCAGGCTAGGGGACTGAACACGTGCTAACGGAATCAATGGCAAGGACCCAAAGCACGAACTGGGTTCAGGTGAGCCTTGCCAGATCGTATTTGAAAGCGCTGGAAAATTCCTCCTAGTTTATCGGTTTTAACCTAAACCGTTTCAAGGGTGCAGCCTTCCAAGCACCGTCCCAGTGGCACGAAACAGTGAGGCCAGACGCGTGCAGATCCCAGCTGAGACCCCGCCCAGCTCTCCCCAGTCATGCCCGGGAACCTCGCTGCCAACCCCTGCTGTCACCCCCGGAGAAAACCTATAAGCGCTGGAAAATTCCTCCTAGTTTATCGGTTTTAACCTAAACCGTTTCAAGGGTGCAGCCTTCCAAGCACCGTCCCAGTGGCACGAAACAGTGAGGCCAGACGCGTGCAGATCCCAGCTGAGACCCCGCCCAGCTCTCCCCAGTCATGCCCGGGAACCTCGCTGCCAACCCCTGCTGTCACCCCCGGAGAAAACCTATCCCAGCACCTCGGCCCGCCTGCCCGCTGGAGCGGCGGGCCCGGGGCTTGGCGGGCGG